TTATTTTTAATATGTTTACACCCTTCTACTTCCTGTATATTATATCTAACTAGTTCCCACAAGTGGTTTCCGTTTAGTATATTAAATCATAGTTTACCTTATGAAATAATACTATTGACTACTATATTCTAATGTGTATAACTTTTATGTAACATAATATGTTTCTATCTGCTCATTTAAAATGCATTAGAATTCTAAAGGCGTTCATTTGATGTTCTTTAATGATATTGTAGTATATTGAAATTGTTATATTTGTGTCTTATTGTATTTATTCCACTCCTGGCTCCTAAGTAGTCCTTGAAATAATTCTGATTATTCCTATAAGCTATAGTTAATATTTCAGTGTATATCTTCAACTATTTATTTTCTATGTACCGATGAGTAATTATCTCTTGATCAATTTGCAATATTGTATTATATGTAGCTATTTCCTATTAATACGCCATTATATACCGTTTTCTTGAAAATATATCAAACAATGTTCTTCCTATGTGATATTATTTGGAGTCTTTTAGTATATCCTTCTTTGTTCTCACATTAAAACTTTTACTGCAATCAGCTTTAAATTCATTTTATGGAAGATTCACACTCACGTTTTTACCCTCTCTCAACTGCGAATAATTAAATTGAATTTCCATTCCGTTTATTTTTTAATGAGAATAATATTATTTATCGAGTGATAAGTTTTTACACGTTCTTCCACTTTATACTGATATTTTGTATACGTTCCCATATGATTCTGCCCTAAATCCTTTTGTTGTTTATAGGCTCTGACTTACTAATTATCCAAAATTGCTCTTTTTTATTCAGATTAATGTCCCATTTTTGAGGCATAGTAAAACAGCAAGCTTATTAATCAGTAATTTCCAATGGTTTACTTAGAATACGATTAATACACATATATAGCAAACAATATCTATGAAATTCTAGTATAAGGTCTACATTCGATTGATACAAATAAATATTTGTCCCTTTATCTCGTTAGCTTCGGAAAAGGTAAAACTACACTTATTAAAGTATACATTAAGATCAAGACAGTTTGGCCTGTATTTGGTCGCGGTCTGCTTTCGCTGTATAGAATTGTCCTGAATTCGTTTTCCTAACTTGGTCTTGTTACGCTCGAAGCAAGTGCCTTTTCTGGACTCCTCGCTCACAGTAGCCATGCTAACTTCCAGCCTCGGACTGTGGACCTGTACACTCGCATACATTTTGTCGACATCGCATTCGGCAACGTGATTGAGTCTTGTCTCTATTTTCACCAAGCAACAGCTCGTCACCTGTAAACCACATAACCGATCCGGTATGGGCTTCAGAATTAGTCATAGCGACATGTAAATCGGGTCAGTGTATATCTTAAGCAAAGTTCTTTACTCACCCAAAACGAGTCTATTTCAATTCCCACAGGCAGGCTGAGGCTAGTCTTAAACACTTTCCAAAACCAGTATTCGACAGAATTTGGATCATACAATACTAACTTTTATTAGAGTAAAGCCAGAAATAAGCATGTGAGAAGGCATGCTTAATAGCCAATCCAGCTTGGTGCATTCGATCTTTTTCTCGAAACCATTTTAACAATACCGACATTTTTGTACAACATAAATAGGGTTCATCGGACTGTATATTTGGACTGCTTCTCTGCATGACTTAAATCATTTCTTAAACATTTCATGAAATATGATAAAATACACGTTACAGAATACAGTTATAAGGTCAACCAAGTTAAAAGGTATTAAATGAAATAAAGGTAATCCTAGTCTCATTAGAATTGAGACTATTTTCAGGATTTCTGCAAATCCACCACAGGCTACTGAGATCGAGTACAGATGAATTTCCTTTACTTATGGTCGTTTCAGCCTCATCTACAATGAAGCCGTAACAAAATAATTCTAAAAGCATTTCCTTTGCATATAAGCAATTGTTTATTTGCATCGAAAAAAAGGCGTTTCACTCTTCAACCTAGACTTATAGACATGTGGCTGTTAGGGGAGGTCTGTGTGAAGGGAAACTGTTGGTCGTGGTCTGGATTGCCTGTATCCGTCCTGGCAACATAGTGCATGTCAAAATGCCTTCATCTCCAGATGAAGCCCAAGTACCCGACTTTGCTCCAGCCTCGCTACTGCAAAAGACCTCTTTGTCGCGTTGAGTGCACCTGTCTAGGCCCGCTTTCTTACTTAGCGCTGTAGTTTCCGAAGTATGAAGGTCTTCTTGAAGGCTTCTACTGGGGCACGTCGTGATTACGTAATCTTCGATATCGCCGCTTCCATTGTTGCCATGGTGATTCTGCCTATCATCTTCTTCCAGCGAGATCACCTCGGTACTGTTTTCTCTCTCTTCGTAGCCTTCGGAATAGGCATCGTCTTCATTGTCTGGCTCTGCCATCAAATCGGCCGTCGCTTTTGCATTTGCCTGCTCAGTAATGCTTGAGTTGGAGTCGTCGCTGGTGTTTGAATTGAAAACCGCCTTGTTGCCATACTTCACCTCTAAATTGGATAATGTGGATGCGATTGGAGAGGCAATAAGTGCATTGGCAACAGTGACATCTTTGCAGAGTCTAGAGGACTGCCTCAACTCGTGTCGGTCTCTTGGGCCAGTTCGAGCAAGAATTTCCAAATCTTCCATGGCACCGACAGCCTCGAGACCGGAGGTGACGAAGCTCGAGTCGTTGGCGACTCGGGGGAAAAAGCCTCTATTGGCTGTGTCGAGGAGGAGAGCAGCGTTGGCGGCAGCCTCTCTGCCAAGACCCGAGAGTCTGAGTGCCCTCGTCAGAGCCCAGCAGCTCAGCTCGGTCGGAGGCAAGGCAACATCGAGACCGACGAGGGAGTCTGGCGACAACGAGATGTGCTGCGACCTCGACGAGACCGGTTGTGGACAGGATAACGGAGCCTGGATTATTCGTTGGGATGGACAGTCTGGTCGAACTTCGGTGGTGGTGAGCTCAGACTGCGGCGAAGAGATGGTCGAAGATGAGGCGATGAGAAGGTCAGTCGGAGGCTGGACTATTGTGTCTGGAGGAGAGGAGAATGGGAGACCGGAAGGGGTAGAGGTGAGTGAAGCTCCAGGCCCGGGGAATTGAAGGGCATGTGGGGGTGGCAAACTGTTCAGGTGCCATGGCAGCAAACCTGTGTGCAGGAATGGATGTGTTGTGTTTGGTGAAGGTAGCAGGCCTGAGGTTGGCAGGTGTGGGGACCAGGGTGGAAGACTAGCCGACAATGATGTTGTACTGAGACAGTTGGCGTGGGGCGAAGTAATCATCCCGGCGGAGAGAAGAGGCGGTGAAAGAGATCCGGAAGACGGCGGTGGGTTTGGAAAGCCGGAAGGTAGTTGCCATGGTAGAAGCTGGAATGCATTGTTCGGATGACCCAGCGGACTGGTTACTTGTCCATGCATAGCCAAATCATTCCCATTTTGGTTGATTATGCTCCGGCCACATAAATTTGTTCCAGCAAGACTAGTACCGCAGATATTCCCCACTGGGGGTGTGGGGGGAGTAGGGGTGGTAGCTGAGGAGGGGAGGGGAGGAGGTCGAGGCATTGGGGCTCCAGTTGCCATTGCAGCAGCAGCAGCAGCTCTATAAGCCTCAATTGTTTCGTGATGTTGCTAAAAGTTGACGACAAAATAGTTTAATCAGTAGAAGGATTGTACTAATTATTTTGTAAATAGAGCTCTTGTGCAAGTGCCATTTTCAGGTAGACTAATTACAAAACATTTTTTCAGACTTTAAAGAAAAACATAAATTAAAAACTCCTCTTTGCATTACAAATGTCAATATATTATTTGGCCTTCGTCTGTCCTATGTCGGACATTCTCATATGCATATCAAATAAGTATGTTTCGAAACTGTCTGTAGGTCTTGAACAAGAAATTTTATTATCTAAGCTCGTTTCAAGTGAATCAACGTCCCAAACAACGAACAGAGTAGACCTCACGATGTCGTAGAATTATACGCATCCTTATTTTTCGTTTATAACTAGGCATTCAAGACGTCCAGTATATCATATCCTATTTCGTTAAGGATGATAAGGGAACAGGTAATTGAATTTTCCCACATTGCTATAAATATACATAAAATTTTCATTGAATTTCATAAAGGCTTGCTTTCCAAAAGGTATTATCATCCAGTAGGACTGCAGTTTTGATCTCGCTTATGCCTTATCAACACCCCCAACAGGACTCGAACCATGACAGTACTGAGCATATTCTCGACACGTTAATCATTACGCTACACTGCTATGAGTACCCTTGAGTCCTGGGGCAGATGTAAACTTCAAAGAATACCAAGCATTTTTCATATCACATTCTGTTGTTGGATCGCTGATGAAGCAAAGTTGTATTTGTCATAGCTATCGACTAAGTTATTTATTTTTGTCTATTAATAGGCTTTCCAAATTATCAGTAGATTGATGTTCTCATTCTATTTCGTTGAGAATGATAACAGGACTAATAGCTTCAATGAAAATGTCATGTCTACTCATATCATTGCGGGAAAATTCAACTACATGTCTCTTATCATCCTTAACAAAATAGGATAAATGCACCTCACTCATCCTTGCCTCCCAAAAGGAGGTTTTCCTGTAGACTGGACAAGAAATACTAAATAGCAACCTTACGTAACAGAAAACTGAGCCGTTTGCGTAAAGCGGAAATGCTACAACTTCTACACAGTCACCGATACCAATGGATGACAGGCTAGATGTGAATAAAAGTTGGGTTTCGAGGAATCTCTTGTTTCATAATTGTTGAGCTTACTTCAATTTCGAGTGAAAGTGTTGGGTAGTCTTTTCTTGTTTCGGTTCTAATGATAGTCAATTCTCCGTACTTTTAGCTCACTTTTTCTCTCTCGCATTGAGACCAAAAAACAAAAAATAGGCTCATCAACAAACTTCGACGTGTGTCCGATCTTGCGCAATCGGAGTGATGGTATAACTAAAATGTGGAAAGGGGGAGATAGGGGTCACCAAACCTTGATGGCCAACAACAGACGTTCCTTTTTGCTGTCCTAATGACTTTAAGCCATCACTTCGAACACAAACAGGCACATACAAATACAGAGACAGGCATACTCACATGCATTGAAGTTGACATATGACCTTAACTAACCAAATCACTTTATACTTGATCAAAGAGGCCATATGTTGAGTATATATACCATTTTTTAGGGATTTTCCGGGGAGTTTTCTTTACTCGTTTACTTGGATTTTGTTGTGACGATGTTACCTCGCTCTC